ATGTTTGTTCGTAAGTCATATATTAATATGCTAATTGCGGTTCTTTTGCATCCTGTCTGAAGACTCCATCACGATCATATCGAAAATGGGCTTAGCACCACGGCCCAAATGGTTTTTGGCGAATTTATCGAAAAGTAAGGATTTTAGGCCATGTGTTGCTCAATAACTCTATATAAACATGCATATGCGGCTTCGTTCAAGCTATTTTGAAGCCTCTACGACCTTCAGAAGCAAGGGGTCGGTTACGTTATTGGGTCAATATGGCGTGGCCCTCCTGGGTTTTCTCCACGGTCAAAAAAAAATGTCTCCAAAACGAAAATCGTTTAATCATAACTTCGGGAAGGTCTGTGCAAAGTTTCGTGAGTATTTGAACATTTGCAGGTTCATTTCCATAAATGTCCATAAATGACTGGACTACACAACTTTAGAGTTAACTTTAGAGAAACTCATAAGTCATTTATCTCAAATTAAGCTGTTAGTGTCCATGATCAACCTCTGGCGGCAATGTTTTACGTGAAATGTAAAAATCAGGAGTAATATAAAAAAGGTGTATTTTTAGATTAAAGTGTCTAGCCTCATAGTTTTAGAATTGTATAGATTAACGTTGGTCATTTTAGCCATCTAACAATCGATCGTGCCGTAATATATGGCCAGAAATAATTGGGTCTTGGAAATTGTATAGTTGTTCAGTGGGTCGATCGACTGAACACGTTTGCACTAGGTATTTAAACTTACCAGTAGTTTATTTATGTTATGCACCGATGATAATGCAATTAGGATAACAACTAGGTAAGCCGGAAGTCTAATTCAAAACACACCTCACACCGTACACACCTCCAATCAGTAATTTTAATATTTGGTAGACCAGGTATTTTGGCGGGAATTCTGTTCCCACGGCACTGTTCTGATAGAAGCTACTTCTACTAATGGTCCCAGAGGAACGGCCGTAAAGTAGCCGACTTCTTGTCTCCTGTACTGGCAGACACTTGCAGATTAAAGTTAGAAATTTCGCTATGCTATAAATATAATTGCTCTCGGAATCGAACAAACTCCTACTTATCTGTATCTTTCTAAATTCGTTAGAGTTTCATGGACTGGGGAAAATAATCGGTACAGTCTCCCTGCTTGTGTAATTAAGCAATGAAAACAATCCAAAATTATCACATATGACATAAGTTGTAATAGCAGAAACTTTCTAACCGTACATTCACCCGCCCACTGTTCAAGAACCTATATCACTGTTTAAAATCATGACGTGAGCACTGTACATCCAATCAGCTATTCCTTTAGTTAGGATGATAGCCAAAAACTATAAGGATTTTGGAGAACTAGGGTAATAGTCATAATTCTAAAATTTGAGTGAGTTACACGTGTTTTAATGACGATGATATACATTTGTAATGTAAATTACGCTATGCAAGCGCGCACTGAGGGACTTTATGACGTCACGAGGCCACAGCTATTATTGCAAAACACGCTTACACGTACCTAGAGAGTTTGGGTTTTTTCGGCGATACGATTTTTTTAAATTTGTCACAGCGATTTAAATCTTACCAAATTGGGCTCAAATTTTTCAGTTAATGGGCCTTTAATTTAATGTGAGTTTTCCGGTGAGACTTCCGGTGATGGGGTTTTCGGTGACCGGACCATTGATCTTTTCCCCAGTGGTTAGTTGAGCATTTCCTAATCGCCTTTAATTAAAATTACTGGTTTTGGAATTTTACCCCTTCCCGTTACTGGGGGTATTTTTCAAGAATGGCTAAACATTTTTACTGTGAAAAAAAATCCAAATTTAAAATTTTTTTTGTGTCCCCAAAACGTCTTTTGGAGAGCTTTTTTTTTAGGCAAGGTAGATGTTTTACAGAAAAAAAAACCCTTTTTCGAAAAAAATTTTGGGTGTTTCTCTTTCCCCTTCGCAAAGTTGTCTATCACTGGACTAACAATTCGAGGGGCCTCATACTGTACAAAGTTCCACAAACCACTTTACCTCAATGACTATTCATGTATTAATGGTGATATGTACCAATTTGGAACTCTGTGCATCCAGCTTCCATCCGTCTATAATAATTATAACTCGTGCAAGTCCGAAATGGGCCGTGTGCTGCTTCTAGGAAGTACATATGACAATGCATATCAGCACACTGTTGGCTTTCTTAGAGACCTGATGAGAACCAAGCGGAAATCATGATTGCCTAGTAAGCAATCCGTCTATTCAGGAGGGAAAATGAAAGTAGAACATGAAGTTGAGAAGTGTTCATTATCATTTGATCCATCTCTTAACCAACAAACCTGCTTTTATTATGCAGGTATTGGAGCAGCTACAGTTACAGAAGCTTCTATTACAACAGGATATAAAGTTACCCTAGATTATTCTCTCTAATGCTGCAGGTGGAATAGATAAACGACTTCATCCAGCTATCAAACAGAAAATATCCATTGGAAGTTACTTGAAGTATCTGTGTCAGAAAGACAAAGTTGTGTTCTGGCCCTTGAATAGTATCTATGACTCTGGTGACAAGCAATCTCGTAAATTGCATCCTTGAAGGAATTTCGTATTCGGACTTTGGTCAGGTGGAGGAATATCTTACCAGCCTGAGGAAGAACGGTCATTGAAAAAGGCAAATGCTTAGAAAACAATCGTGTGCTGCTTGCTGAGATGAATGGGTCAGGCCAAACCAGATATATCTAAAGAAAACTGCTTTTTGGTGACGGAAACCGCTCTACTGAAATATCATACAAGATATGTGACTTAAAACCATTGAATCAGAACACATCTAGTGCAAAATCACTTGCTATTGATGGACTGAGCAAAGAATACAATGTTGAACAATTTGCTGCTATTAAGGATTGGGGACCAGTGGTGGATGTTGGGTGCTCTGGGCATTCTCCGAAAAACCCAGATAGAGAATAGCCTCTATATGGTCTTATCAGCATTAAGGATGTGATTGTGGTCCTGTCAATAACCAAGATGTTTTTCATATAAGCTAGAACAAAGTATCGAGTGGTGCATGGAATATTTAGAGGGTGCTGACCGGTGGCCCCTCTTAAGAGAAGAGCACAACTCCCGTGAGATGGAGAAATCAGTGATTGTGAAACCTGCGAAACAAACTATCCCGGGAGTCTTGTGGGATGAAATATAGGATGATTAGTTTGTGTATAAGAAACAAGAGCTGGCTAAGCTGTCTTGACATGATACGAATCTGTTCTCGGAAAAATGATGCTGGTATTCCACTAAAAGAGGATATGAAGTTTGCCTACAAGATAATTGCGAAGGTTGTTGACACATTTGGATGGAGAAGGCGGAGAAACCGGTGATGTGTTGTTTAAGAAGTGTCGGGCTTATCAGTGCAAAGAGGTTATTATAAAGTGTGTCAACCTTATCCTCAAGCAGGACAAGGGGAAAAGTATTCGACTTTCTTATCGAGAAAATCACAGTGAACCAGTGACCATTTCAACAACTTCTACTGGTTTTTTCACAATATATTCAGTTTTGGCATCTCTCTTCCACAAAAATGTCCCTGAATCTGTCTGGAAAAACCTTACAGGCTTGTACTGATTTTCTTTACCAAAAAAGGGCTAATCAATTGCCATCAAAGATATGGACACAAGGTAGATGATAAGATTCTTAGATTTGCTATGACCAAGTAGACGATTATTATGATATCTGGGGGCTTTTTTTTGACAACAAAGGGTTTTATTTCGGAAAAAGAATTGATGACAGGAAGAAGAACCATTTTTGGAAAAAGTCCTTAAAAGGGCGAGCCAATTCCCGTTTCGGTATAATTTTTGCACCTGTATGTACTGTGTGTGGGTTTGTGAAATTAGTCCAAATCGGTTTTTATTGCTTCCTACGCCCTTTTTAGGGCTAAAAAAAGAATATGAGTGATACGTAAATTGGCCCCCACTCTCCGTATGTGTAAACACGTTTTTATTTGATATGTGTGCGTTGTTTTGGGGTTCGTATTGTACACTAATTTACTGAATATTTGAGTGTAATGCTACGGAGTGGCGGGGGATTAAAATTAAGAATTTTATTTGCAACAAATTGTAATATCTACCATAATATTAATACAGTGTTAACG